TATCTAACAGCTTTCTGTTGTGGCTTGAACAGATATTGTTAAGCTGATTGTCTAACGCGGTTGCGATAGTTAGTTAGAATTCATTGTGTGTTTTTACTGTCAAATCAATCGAAAAACAGACTGATCTATCTATCTTAAAGAAAAGACAAGTGCAATCTGCTTGCACCCCATGTCTGTTTTTCAACAATCGATTATTTTGTCGAGATTTAGATGAATTTTAAAATAACATTTTATTGTGACTTGTGTCAAAAAAATAATTTCAAGAAATGCAGATCTTAATTTACCAACGCGTTTCATGTACTTTATTGAAATATTAAAACACTCATTAGGGCTCTGCATGATATGTTTAAGCACAAGATAAAAGACAACAAAAAAATATATATGCCGATGTAAAAACAAACAAAACATACTAGACCAAAAAAAAAGAAAAAAATAATAGATAAGAAGGACAGAAGAAAAGGAAAAAGCAAATGTAACTCTTTCAATAACTATAATAATACCAATTTTAAAAACTGTAATCATTTATGTAATATTAAAAAGGTTTTTGTTTTTGATCATTTTGATTGTAAGAAGATATTCGATTACGTTCATCATAAGTAACATAATTTAATTTATATTTGTCTAAATTCATTTATATTTAAATTTTAGAAAAAAGACTTCTGTAAAATTAATGAAACAAATCTATTTAATATATTGTAACAAATGTAATTCTTCATTATAAGTTATACATTTTAATATTAATATTTATAAGTTCATTTATATTCAAATTTTTTAACAAAAGTTTCGTAAAATTAATGAAACCAATCTATATTGATTAAATTATATCGTAACAGATATAATTCTTCATTATAAGTTACACACTTTAATTTTTATTTTTATAAATTAATTTATATTTAAATTGTTTTTTAAAGAATATTTTCATAAAGACAATATAAGAAATCTATTTTAATTTCAATTTTTTAACAAAAACAGCTTAGATAAATATTATTTATTGAGTATTAGTTGTTGTTGTGAATTTCTAACATGATAAGTACCTAAGACCGGTTTTATTTCATTTATTTGAGACTTAATGAAGTATTTGTTCCAAAGAGCATGAAATTTTGTCGGAAATGTTTTCAAACTTGAACAATACGTAAAATAAACGAACATTGTTTTACCATAATCAATTGGAATTTTTCTTTCATATCTACATAGATCATCTTCTCTCACAATGTATTATAATTTTTTGTCGATAATGGTTGATTAATATTATATTTTTGAAATACATACCCAAGTAAGCAAAAAATTATGCATGACGGCCGACATGACTAGTCCGAAATGTCCTCAATACCCGTCAGGTCTAGTCTGAAACGTCTTGCACATCCGACATGACTAGTCACGTTTAGGAGAAATGTCCTTCGAACACGTCTGGACTAGTCTAGAATGTCTTTCAACCCCGTCATGCCTGGTCCGTTTTGTCCGTTGAACCCGTCCAAACTAGTCCGAAGTTTAAAAAAGAAGATAAACGGTGAATTCGAACATCCAACCCGACAGTATTCGAAACCTGACGATCATCCTGGCGGGAGACTAGGACACTGGAATGAACGGACGCCCATTTACATTCTAAAATACAAAATTGATTCCTTTCCATCCCGTAAACAATCAGAAACCAGTCGATGTCACACGTCTTTAACTAGTCTGGAACATCTTCGATAGTAGTTAGGACTATACCGACGCGTCGTCTTCACTCGCCACGACTAGTCCTTTTCTAAAGAGTGTCATTCATCCTGGTCCAGACTAGTCTGAAAGACTCTAATCAAGTCACTTTCTTTAGACTAAATTATCCTATAAACTCGTTTAAACTGATGCATTATGGAAAGAAAAGAAGTAGTATGTAAATAGAAAAAATTTTCAACATCTATATCATTTGTTAAAAATGATCGATGGATAATCATATGCATTTAGAATCTGGACTAGATAACAGAATAGCAACCGTTTTATTGCCTATAGTGTACTCAGATTTTCGTAAATTGATAACTAAGCATGATCTATTGTATTATGATTATGGAGATTAATAACATGCATTGTTATTTTGTATTAAAATTATGGCGATTGTCACTAGTATTATTAGTTTTTTTCTCTTTCTAGAACAACAATCAGAAAGTCTGTCATAGCCAATAGTGAAATCAAAGATAGATAGTATACTTTGTGCATTCCTATCTGTCTTGATATATCTTATTATATTTTGTATTTTCATGTATTGAAAATATATAAGAGCATATCAAAACATTAAAAAGTGGAAGTAACTATAAAGAATAGTAGTTATCAAGCAACAAGGAGTACTAACTTATATTTTTTAAAATTATTAGATGTACCAAATTTAAAAAAAAGAGCTAAAAAATAATTGAAATCTTTTTGTACCATAATTGCTGCTTTAAATATCAGTTCTAATAAATTTTTAAATTTAAAAGTAGATTTAATTGAAACAAAATTAATTTAATACTTAGTTGAAGACATGATGATTTAAATTTTCAGGTAAACTAAATCATGATATGAAAAATCGAGTTTCTTTTCAATATAAATTGTTTTTTATTTTTGCATTTAAAATTAATTTTTTTAAATAACTAATTATTCCTACTTAATAGTAATAAAAAATATTTATCCAAAAAATATAAATTTTTTGACTTTGTTTTATCTAGTGTTGTTTAATTAATGACCTATTTTGTAAACGATAATTTTTTATTTAAATGCGAACATCAAAAACGTGGAATAAAATTATATTAAATAGCATCTTAGAATGATTATGTATGTGTAGAGTTGATCTGCTGATCATATGACTCAATGGCCTAAACGATGGGTAAGTAACACATTGTATGCATGTTCGAATCTAACTTTCATCTTTACACATTTTCATTTAGACTAGTCCGAACTCGTCCACTACACAAGACTACAACTTGTTCCATGTGGTGTCGCTGTTACCCATCCTGACTAATCTTTTTCTCAAAAAGTCCTCCTACGGGCCTAGTCCACCTATTAGTGATTCTTACTAGTCCTAGACGGGTATTTTTAGTGAAACAGACTAGACATGTCAGAGCCAATGACGCCCATCAGTAACATAGTCTGGACGGGTATTATGGACGACAACTTTTTCCAGACTAGTCATGGTATAGTCCGATTTGAGAAAAAGACTAGACAGGACGTCCCGTCAGGACTAGATATGAGACTAGTCTTTTTACCCGTCCTTTGCTCGCCTGGGATATCGATCATATTTTGATGCTCATCCAATGAATAAAAATTAGTTATATTAATAGTACAAAAGACAGTTGTTGTGTGAAGACGACGTTCTTTGTAGCATATTGATGGAATTTTCAAATAAAATCAGTATCATCATCGAATGTCGTTGATCGTAATTTATCGTCGACAAATGGTCGTAATACTCGATTTAAATGTTTAGCAATTTTCCATGTAGCACTATATTGAGCTGAAATAACGGGCACGAGAGATAGACCACTTTCCTATATAGAACAAAAGCAAAAACTATCAGTGAATGAAGAGACATAAAGAAAAAAATTGCAATCTTGTCTTACATTCGAAATATCTGGTAAAAAAATATAAATAAAGTAATTTGGTTTTCGTTGGATCAGCCACTAATTGTTCGTATAATTCATCTTTGATTGCATTATGTGCTTTCAGTTTTTCTAATAAACTATTCATCGATTTCATCATATTTTTTAAAGCTGTATGTAAAGGCTTTTCATTGTTTTGGTTATTGATATCAATTAGAACATCATAATTTTCAGATCTTATTAAATATTGATCAGCTTTGGCTTCAAATTCTGATCTATTTCCAATATAGAAGGTATTCATATTATCGGCTGTTCGTCGTAAAATAAGATTATTTTTCTGTAAAGTATATCGAATCGATTGAATTAAATGTTTTTCATAGACAGCACGTTGAAAAAGTTGTGCCGGTATTGGATGTGAAAAAAGATTTTCAAATTTGTTAAATAATTTATCTTGAATTTCCATTCGTAAAGGTAAATTAATTTTATAGTTCTGAAACAGAATCATCAATTGATGTTTCAATGGAGCAAATTGTTTCTTGACAATATCATTGATAGATTGATCGGCAAATAAGATATACATTAAACATGGTGGTACATAAGTT